AAATGGTACGTGGCCAACAATCGGCACTAGACGGCGTGGGCGACGTTTGTGCGCAGCTTCCAGGAGTTCTTCTTGCTCAGAGGCTATCTGGAGAATCTGGAGGATGACGTCAAACGCCGGAGACAAATGGTAGATGAGAGCTTCAAAGTCTAAATGGTGGAGATGCAGACTCTCATGCGGCCTCTGCGCTATAGAGCAGACCGCGAGATGAAGCTCATCTATAACAACAGCCTGCCCGATCTGCGTGCCTGTGCCCGGCCGTATCAACTTCATAATCTGGTGGAATTGATGCACCTAGCAGACGAGTTCGAAGAGCTGGAGAGGGACCGCGAGAGGTATCGGCAGCAGCCACGGCCTGGCCGGTCACGATTGATGGCCATGGACGAAGCTGGAGGCGATGTGGAGTACCGCTGCATGGAGGTACAGGCGCATCAGAACCAAGGACGCACATCACAAATCCAGCCAGGGCTTGCCGAATGTGTGGCCAAGAAGCGCATCGCACTTTGCATGCCGCAATAAGGCGCTGGCAGTGCAGGCGCATTGGAGTGAGAACGTTTGCCTGTTTCCAGTCGGGAAACGAGCAGCAGCACCCGTCATCCAGGGGTGAGCAGGAGTAGCGGCCAGGAGCCCCCAGGCGCTAGTGGGCCGTCTTCAGGACGAAGGCAGCTAGATGGCAGCGATCGTGACCATTGGAGTCACTCAACAAAGAGCCACGATCGATACGGGAGCCACAAGCAGCTTTATCAGCGAAAAGCTTGCTGACAGGCTCAGAAGAGTGGGCTTTGTGCGTGCCACACGGCGGCGCAGCCTGGAGAATCAGCAAATCCAGATTCCGTCGCGAATTCTGCCAGGAGTGATCGACGATCTGGTGCTGGGCTGGGAATTCTTGGTCAGCATGGGGACCACACTGGAGTACGGTGGCTTGACACTGAGGATCGAGCCAAGAATCCCACAGTCGAGCGGACAGCTAGATGAGAAGCTATCCGTGGCTGTGGCCAGCGTGGAGGCGAATCCAGAGATGCCAGTGGAGGCGAACCTGGAACAGCCAAAGCCAATGCACAAGGACCCAGAGTTCGACGCTTTTCTGAGGCATGAGCTGGAGAAGTTCCAACATGTGAAAGGCACCACCAGGATCACGGAGCACCGTATCAGGAAGCAGGAAAACAGGCCCATAAAGCAGCGCTACATCCCCAAAAATCCAAAAAATGCAGGCGGAGATCAACCTGCAGGTGGATGAGCTGTTGGCCAAAGGCAGCATCGAGCCCTCGAAGAGCCCACATAGCGCGCCGATTGTCATGGTTCGCAAGAAGAATAGGATGTGGCGACTATGTGTGGATTTTCGACAGCTGAACAGCAGATCCATTAAAGATGCATACCCTTTGCCAGCTGCGAGAGGCGCGCTACATCAGCAGCCTGGATTTGAAGGATGGGTATTGGCAGATACCTATGGAGAAGACCGAAAGACCACTGACGGCATTCACGGTACTAGGAAAGGGGCTCTATCAATGGAAGGTAATGCCGTTTGGACTCCATTCTGCGCCAGCAACATTTCAGCGAGCGCTGGACCAGGTTATCGGCCCAGAAATGATGCGCCATGCCTTTGCCTACCTGGACGACATCATCGTCATTGGCCGAAAGCGACAGGAGCATTTGGACAACCTGCGAGAGGTGTTCCGGCGACTGCGGGCAGCCAACTTGAAGATCAATATCGACAAGCGCGATTTTTTCAAGAAGGAGTTGAAGTATCTGGGTCACAAAGTCTCGGAGGATGGCATTTGCACAGACCCAGAGAAAGTGGCCGCTATCGCTGAGATGAAGCCGCCCACAAACGTTAGAGTTACGCCAATACGTGGGCGTGGCTTCGTGGTACCGCCGCTTCGTGCCAGATTTTGCAGCCACAATGTACCCTCAAAATGCACTGCCCAAAAAGGGCACGAAGTGGGAGTGGACGGAGCAGCGGCAAAGGGCGTTCGAGACGGTGAAGGCCAAACTGACGGAGTCACTGGTGCTGGCCCTGATTTCTCGAAGCCGTTTTGCTTGCAAAAGGACGTAAGCAATTATGGGCTTGGGGCAATCTTGACGCAGACCTTGGAGGAAGGAGAGCTCGTCATTTCATATGCCAGCCAGAACTACTCAGCTTCTGAAAAAGAGTGTCTGGCTATAATCTGGGGCATACGGAAGCTCAGGCCATACCTAGAAAGCTACAAATATATAGTGGTCACTAACCATATGGCTCTGAAGTGGCTCAATTCTATAGAGAGCCCAACGGGAAGGATTGCCAGATGGGCACTAGAGCTGCAGCAGTACGATTTCGAGATTCACTACAGAAAGGGCAAGCAGAATGTGGTGGCAGATGCGCTCTCACGACAGCCACTGGGCGAGGAGGCGTGCTGTTTGGTTAAGAGCAAGGATATGCCAGCTGGGACAGCTTCGTCAGGACCTAGAAAAGGCGCCACATAAGTTCCCAGACTATATGAAAGAGTCTGGAAACGTACACCGGCACATCCCGCATCAAGCCGGCCGTGGCTACAAGGAAGTTGTGCGGACCGGCGCAAGCAAGTACTGCAGGAGAATTACGACGCAGCCACCGATGGCCACCTTGGGAGCCGAAAAACAATTGCTCGGGTGGCAGCGCGGTATTACTGGCCGGGTATGTAGAGAGATGTGCGGACGTATACAGCGCTGCGAAGTGTGTCAGCGATATAAGCCCAGTCAGCTGCAATCTGCTGGGCAAATGCTGACGCAGGTGCCCGAGGAGCCATGGGCAACAGTGTGTGCCGATTTTGTTGGCCCGCTGCCGAGATCAAAGGCAGCCTCGCTCAGGCAGAGAAGGGGACCAGGACGGCGCATGTGGCGGATCTCAAGCCGTAGAGAGGAGACACGGGTGAGCCATAGAGCTGTTTCGTTTTTTTCCGAAAAAAAAAGGGAGTGAATACACTTGTATTACTTCTCATTTAAGAAAAAAAAGAAAATTTTGCTCAAAAATTCATAATTTCGTCAGCGAAACGCATCTGTGGCTGGAAAATCACAGTTGCCACCGCAAATTTATGGTATATTGGTACACAACAACAATTTGTTTGAACTTCGTGCGCACGACAGCAAGCAGGGTGCAGTACTGCACCGAAAAACTTAGCTGCCAGTGTATGCGCAATGCACAATGCACAGATACAACAACAAGCAGTGCATGCGCAAGCAGCACCCATATACGGTACATGCGCAACAACAACGCGCGCAGCCGAAATTATGCATTTTCTAACGAACCGCACGCATTCCAGGCGAAAGAATTGCTGCACTCACACACAGAGCGAAGCGAGAGCAAGCGAGCGTAGGCAAGGGTCAAGGACCTACGTCGGCTGCTCAGCGATCGCCAGCGCACGAAGATAACAAAGCGACAGAGACATATAAAACAGCCAACAACAAAACACACAGCGACATATAAAACACGCTGGTCTCGTGTTTTCCCGAAGAAAGAGGGGAATGCGAGGAGCAATATTGGTACGCACGTATTAATGTATATGAACGTACGTAGTTGCTGTGCGATTATATGCATATACGTGCATATACATGTTGCTCCACACAGCGACGCGAGTACTATAGGAGTGACCCTCGCGACTGGAAAGGGGTCAAGATCCGACTATAGTCGGCCTCTTTTGCTCCTACAGATTCAGCAATGGGTTCGCGTCGCACGTACGTCGATCATCAAGGACCGTTAGCCGAGGTGCCGTTCGGGCCGGGTGATAGTAGTGGACACTTTCACTTGTAGGGCACCAACGGTACTTCGGCCAATGGGAGGCTGCCACGCGATTTGTCGGGAAGGTGGCGTCATCCAGATCACGTTTTTATGGGCACGAGCGGCAGAAAGGCCCCGCTCCAGAGCCGAACAGGCCCCGCTACCACCCGAAGCAGGGCCTGTGGCTGGGCTAAAAAAGGCCACCGGCAGCTCCATATGGGGGTTAAAAAGTGATTATTAATAGTGAAAATCAGAGTGACAAGAGTGCCGAAGTGAAACAGTAAAGTGAAAGTCAACGTGAGTGGCAGATCAGGACTCCCAGGACATTGTGGGAACAGCAAGGACATCCAGTGGGAATCCTTGCGACGACTAAAGAGGCAAGCAAGATCGTCAGCTTATTTATATTCGGGCACTATAAATGCCGACTGCCACGCCCCTAGTGGCCGTAGAATCATCATTTTTGGCCAGTTTCTAGAACGAACCGGTAACCTAAATATTAATTCTTACGCTCAAAAAATGTGAAAATTACAGGGTATTTTTGATATGCCACGCCCCTAAAGAGGCGTAAAAATTATATTTGGGGAGGCTACCAGTAACTCAACTATCCAAGTTTGAAGCTTCTAGCAATTATAGTTTAGAAGCTATAAGATTTTGCAGTTTGCCACGCCCCCTATAGGCGGACATATATCTAACATAGTTCGTTCGACTTGGGTGGTCAACCCGCGTATATATCACTATATCTTCAGGTTCGATTTCCCACGCCCCTAGTGGGCGGATCGGGAAAATTTTAACACTTTATAAATCGGAGATATACACGAGTATGTGTTCCAAATTTCAGTCTCTTGCTTCAATACCGCCGAAATAGACTGCGTTCATACGGACAAACGGACGGACAGCAAAACGGACATTGCACAAATCCAATATACTCATTTCAGTTTCGTGAATGAGTATAATAATATCGGATTAGTTATCGAAAAATATGATAAGCTTTTACGGCGTATTGTATACACGTGTATGCATAAAAAATTTCAGCTCTCTAACTCTGGTATCTTCTGAAATCGAAGGGTTTCATATGGATGGACGAACAGACGGACAGGGCTATATCGACTCAGCTCGCCGTCCTGGTCAAGAATATATATAGTTTAGGGGTCTGCCATGATTCCTTCTGCCTGTTACAAACTTTTCACGAAACCATTATTCTCTGATTTCAGATTGAAAATGGGTTCAGGGTATACAAATTAATTATGAATATAAATATTTTAACACTTACCTGACGGTTGTGGGACCAGATGACGGTGGGCGGTGGTTCAGGTGCAAATCTAACAATGCAAGTTAAATTGATGGTAGACCCTTTATTAATGTGTAACTCGGGGCCGCCGATAACCTCAGTAACAGGCTCTGTAAAGATAAAATATTTTAATATTTAACAAGTAAGAAGACTCTAGTCGAGACTGCTCGACTAGGAGATACCTTGAACCCTCTAAGCTGATATTCTACTCATTCTGCACTTCTTTTATGCATACATGCATAGACACGCATCCACACGCTCGTATATTCACGCGCTCTGCTGACTGCGAAGTTAGCAGCGACAGCGCTTGGGCTGCGCTGCAGTGTGGGCAATATTATGAGAATTTCATTATTGAATAGTTTCTTTTGTAGACGTACAATCTTTCTGAAACTTTCAGACCGCGATCATATGGTTCAAATGTGTGTACATTCCAAAGCACTCTCTAGTACTTGAAATGCGTTTTTACAAATTTTGGGAGAAGGGGGCGTGGTATTCAAAATCTGTAAATTACAAAAACTTCGTTTCGATCAACTGTATAAACACAGTAGATCTGAAGTCTGTAGGTCTAAAAGAGTTCAAATTAGGCTAATAAAACGAAATAAATTTTTCGATTATTCTCGATAAAAAAGTTATCGGATGTGTTATCGAAAAAAATATGATAAACTTGTACTGCGTATGGTACACACGAGTACGTATGCCAAATTTCAGCTCTCTAGCTCTTATAACTTTTGTGATCGACGCACTCATACGGACGGACAGACGGACAGGACTATATCGACTCAGTTCGTCGTGCTGATTAAGAATATATACTTTATAGGGTCTGCGATGATTCCTTCTGTCCGTAACATACTTTTTCACAAAACCATTATACCTTGATTTCCCATTTTCAATGGGTTCAGGGTATAACACGTAAGAAGGCTCTAGTCGAGACTGCTCGACTACGAAATCCCCTGAGCCCTTCGAAGAATTTATATTTCAATAATCTTATACAAGAAACACACACAGATACACATAGGCATGCACACATAAACACGCATGGACTGCAGTGGTGGCTTACTATGAGAACTTAATTGTTTGATAACTTTTCTTATGGATGGACTACCTTAATGAAACTTTTATATCATATAACATTGAAATGCGTGCATGTGCCAAAGCACAAGTCTAGTATGTAAAATATCTCTTTTAAAAATAGAAGGATTTTCAATAAAGGCGGGTAGATGTTGAAATAGAATAAAACAAGCTGTGTTTGAGGTATTGACAAAATTATTTTTGAAAGGCGCATATATGCCATTAAGTGTGGAATATAACATCATTCAAATGCCCGCCTCTGCTTCTTATGGTGAAGCGTATCCGAGTGATCCTCACCAACTTTTTTTTTCAAAAAATTACGGACCAGTGAAGTTTATCGTACCAGTAAAAAGTTTATCGTATTTTTATACCCTGAACCCATTGAAAATGGGAAATCAGGGTATAATGGTTTTGTTAAAAGTATGTAACAGGCAGAAGGAGGCGTGGCAGACCCCATAAAGTATATATATTCTTGATCAGGGCGACAAGCTGAGTCGATTTGGACCTGTCTGCCTGTGTGTCGGTACATCCGTCCGTATGTATGAACGCGTCGATCTCAGAAGATATAAGAGCTAGAGACTTGAAATTTTTTCCTAGGTCTGTGTATATCACGCGCATATCAAGTTTTTCTCTATATATCGATAACTATTCCCGAGTCGCTGCTTACTGCGCAGTTAGCAGAGCGCGTTCTAATATGTGCGTGTGTATGTGTGTGCCGAAAAGAAGTGCAGAGTGATTAGAATATCAGATTTGAGGGTTCAGGGTATCTCCTAGTCGAGCAGTCTCGACTAGAGTCTTCTTACTTGTTTTATCTCATTTAGATTAGACTTAGAGACTTTGGAATTACTATGTATATATGTAAAGTTGCATGAGAAGCGTGATTGAGCGGTGTTACACAATAGCAACAGGATGTCAACTCCATTTAAAGATGCAGTTGGGTTTGAAAAGACGTTGAATGAAGAATTTTAACAAAAACCGAAATTGTATAAAATTCATATAAATATACATTTAAAATTTGGAGACTGTAGCGTTAAAGGTGTAGGAGATATAATTTTAGAAGTGGTTTTCGATAAGCTTTTCATATTTTTGAGTCATTCACCGGATATTACGACGTGCCGAAAAAAATGCGAAATATTGACAATAAATGTAAGCATTAAAAGACGCTGTTAGAAATGTATATACATATGTTTTTATTTATCAGTGATCAGTGTGTACGTAGCAGCGACACAAATGCTGCTAAGACAAAGAGAGAGAGAGAGAGAGAGAGATAGAAAGAAACAAGCTGCAATGCCGACTTCTCACAAAAGTTTCGATACCATGTTATTGAAATAATATATAATATATATATATATGTATGTCGTATCAATATTTTTATTTTCTTTATTAATTTGCATTTCCGATATTTCGTTATTCAATTAATTCTCGTACCATCACTGATCTACATATGTATCATCTCTAGTAAGCGAATTAAAGAGAATGAAAGATAACCAAATTGTTGTTTTACCGTTATAGGACTCCATCCCTTTTCCTTTATGTGTATCTGTCTCACAAACCATGTAATATTCGCGAGCCCAACAGATCATCTGTTCTGCGTAGTCTCGGCCTGACAATGCGACAGAGTGAGATGACTATAACATCTAGCAAGACGTATTAGTATTGAGCTTGGTATGTATCCACTTGAGTGTATTGAAGAAGAAGAAAAAACGCGTCATGTCAGATCCGAGAAAAACAAGGCACGCGCTGCTGGGAAAATAAATGTGGAACCGGACGATAATGAATCTACGACATCAGAAGTGGGATCTCCTCCACACCAATCAACAGGGGAAGACCGTTTTGGTACACTGCTGGAAATTCAACATCGATATTTCATGGAAGCTACAAATGCGTTAAAAGAAGCAAAATCAACGTCGGGCAAACTAAATACAGTTATATTGCCAAATATTAAACCCGATTCCACTGATGCTAATGCAGCCTAATAGAGAATGCCTTGGATGGTAGTGCCTTACTTATTGCGCTCAGTAAAGCAGTTGAAGGTGACGCTTCAAGCTGGCTGTCACAAATCTGTTTTCATGGAATGACATGGGGCGACTTCAAGGAATTGTTCTCACAACAGTTTGAAGGAAACGAGACTCCAGCGGCTACAGTTTTCAATGTTTTAAGTGGAAAACCAAATGAAGGCAAGCCGACTAATAACAAAGCTCATGGTAAATCACTAACACATGAACAAATTGCCATGTCGGTCGTGCTGGCGCATGCTACTCATGTCGATAGCAGACTACAATGCACTGTTTATACGGCCAATGTTAACACACGCAACGAATTACAAAACGAGCTAAGTTTTTTTTGATTTTCTTAAAAAGAGAGATCGTTCAGCTGAGGAAAACTCAACCTGTAAGAGACAGCGATTGCATACACCCGTAATATGTCACTTCTGTGGAAAACTGGGCCACAAATTTGCGGAATGTCGATCAAGGAAGAACAACGCCAAACCTCTACAAGGATCCAATTCAAATTATGGCCATTCATCGGATGTGAAGACTAAAGTCGTTATATGCTACAAGTGTGGGACTCCTGGACATATTGCATCGGCTTGTACTGGACGACCGGAGTCAACTCATTCAAATAAAGCAGGCGAGAAAAGGGTAAACTTGTGTCAACTGACCGATCCAATTGGTAATCTGGTATCATCTGGGAAGTCGTACTCATTCTTTTTCGATTCCGGATCTGAGTGCTCACTCAGCGGCTTTCTGGCACACGAATCAATAAGGTTGTCGCTTTAAAGGGAATCGGAGGTAGTGCAATAACCAGCACTTTACAAATTTTGTCAAATGTTATTATTAATGAATACTCTCTTGAGGTTCCTTTTCACGTTGTTCTTAATAGCTATATTAATTACGACATAATAATTGGCCGAGAAATTCTAACCCAGAACTTTGGTATTAAGGTAACAACCAATACGTTAGAATTATATAAGACAAAAACTGTATACACTCTATCTGCTTCGAAAAGTCGTGACAGCTGGGCCGATATTGATACAGAGTTGTGTGGTTCAGATAAGACACACTTGTTAGAAATTTTAAGCGAGTTTTCAGAAGCATCCATAGATGGTGGGCATACATGCAGTCTTTTGATTTCGATATTCAGTATAGACCGGGTGTCAAAATGGCTCATGTTGATTTCCTTTCACGTAATCCGGTTGCAAATGAAGTAATGACTCAATCTTATACAAGTTTAGAAAACAAACATGTTTTGTTAGTTGCAATAACTGACTTATAGCGGAACAACAGAAAGACTCAGAAACGGCATTAATTAAAAAAATTCAAAATAATGAATTAGAAGAGAGTGTATCAAAAACTTATGAAATACGTTCAAAAGTACTTTTCCGTAAAATTCAAAGAAACGTTAAAACTAGGTGTCTTCCAGTCGTTCCTAGATCTTTTAGGTGGTCCGTAGTGAATCATGTTCACGAAGCAATCGTATACCTTGGTTGGAAAAGAAACTCTAGATAAGATGTACGAGTTTTACTGGTTCGAGCATATGGCCAAATACGTACGAAAGTTTGTAGATAAGTGTATTACTTGCAAATTGACCAAAGCTCCATCAGGAAAGTTGCCAATTGAACTTCACCCTATACCAGAGATAGATATCCCATGGCATACAGTCCATATTGATATCACGGGTAAATTGAGCGGTAAAAAGGATCAAAAGGAATATATATTATAGTACAAATAGATGCGTTCACAAAGTTTGTTTACTTGTATCACACTGTAAATATTAACAGTGAAAGTTGTATAGATGCTGTAAAGTTGGCAATATCAATATTTGGCGTGCCAACACGTATCATTGCCGACCAGGGTAGATCTTTTACTGGGTCAGGCTTTTGTGATTTTTGTTCGAAACAAAAAATAAATTTACACCTGATAGCAACGGGCGCTAGTCGTGCCAATGGTCAGGTAGAACGCGTTATGAGCTTGTTAAAACAAATGCTTACCGCAATCGAGAGTAGTCAACGATCTTGGCAAGATGCCCTAGGCAAAATACAACTAGCCATAAATTGTACAATAAATCGCATTACCAAATCTAGTCCCTTAGAATTACCTATTGGAAAAGAAGAAGAAATAATAAAGTCGATGTTAAATCTGTAAGAAAAATGGCCACAGAAAACATGGTCAAGAATGCGATCCATGATAAGAAACGGTTCGACAAGAATAAATCTAAACTTAACAAATTCAAAATTGGCGATTATGTCTTGCTTAGGAATGAGAAAACGGGATCAGATCAAAGATTTAGAGGTCCATTACTGGTGACAGAGATGGAGATATACCTTGAAATTCTTAGTAAACAAGCGAATCTATAAGTATTCGCATGAAGCCTTGATACGTATGCCAGAAGAAGAGATTCCTAGAGCGTTGGACGTATACAGTGAGAATGAAAGTGAAGACGTTGAAAGTGACGTCATAAGATAGTTGGTGGATTCCAACTGGGACGTTGAAAGAGACGTCATGAGATAGTTGGTGGATTCCAACTGGGACGTTGAAAGAGACGTCATAGATGAATTGTAATAACATTGATGGACTTCAATGTGACGATCCATACATTTAGCTCCGGTAGCGCCATAGTGTAGGGTTGCCAGTGCTGGCAGGTACACGAGTTAATGTGTTGACTTGTGAGATGTCTGGTGGCTATCACTGTGGTAGAATCCGTCAGGTTGAATGTACTGGATATGATGCTAACTTAGGAATCTTCTGTCTGATGGATGCTGAAAGGTTGTTAATTATTAACAATTAACAAAGTTTTGTAACACACGAGGACGTGTGATGGTCAGGATGGCCGTGTCGTATCGATATTTTTATTTTCTTTATTAATTTGCATTTCCGATATTTCGTTATTCAATTAATTCTCGTACCATCACTGATCTACATATGTATCATCTCTAGTAAGCGAAGTAAAGAGAATGAAGAACCAAATTGTTGTTTTACCGTTATAGGACTCCATCCCTTTTCCTTTATGTGTATCTGTCTCACAAACCATGTAATATTCGCGAGCCCAACAGATCATCTGTTCTGCGTAGTGTCGGCCTGACAATGCGACAGAGTGAGATGACTATAACATCTAGTAAGACGTATTAGTATTGAGCTTGGTATGTATCCACTTGAGTTTATTGAAGAAGAAGAGAAAAGTGACGATTATTGATGTTGAAAACTCGAAGTAGAAAGGTCGCGTCATGTCAGATCCGAGAAAACGCAAGGCACGCGCGTTATGCAACCAAATCACCAAAGCATTTTCAACGTAAGTGTCGCCGCCGCTTCCATTGAAGATGCTCGCCGCCGCTTCCGTTGAAAATGCTCGCCGCCGCTTCCATTGAGGATGCTCGCCACCGCTTCCGTTGAAAATGTTCAGCTAGCAACAATAAATGTTAGCAACAAATACATACATACATGTATATAAACGTTAAAAATGATCAGCTAGCAACAATAAATGTAAGCAACAAATACATACATGTATATAAACGTTGAAAATGCTCAGCTAGCAACAATAAATGTAAGCAACAAATACATACATGTATACATGTATATAACAGGCATTTGCATATGCCAAGAAAAAACTTTACAAGTAGTCTTAAGATTCATTCCAAACAGAAAAGAAGTTCTTATTATCAATAAAGAAAAATTATAATATCCAAAGATATTAAGTGTTTTTATTGAACTATCACTCAACATATATAAATATCCAAAGACAATTTTGTTAAAGTGATTTACAGTTTTTATTGTGCTTGTATATCCAAAGATATATGAAAAACCATCGATAGTGAGAACTATAACTCGCGCTGCTGGGAAAATAAATGTGGAACCGGACGATAATGAATCTGCGACATATAAATATAAATATTTATTGTTTTGATTACAAAATTAAATTTTTTTTTGTTAAACCCTTTTACGAACATGACAACCGTAAAAAAAATGACAACAATATTTTTTTGTTCCTTCTGGTTAAAGCGTCCTCCGGCTATGGCGACGTAAAATCGTCGGTCCCTTGAATGTCGCTATAACCGGATTCTACTGTATTTATATTATTTTGTATTGTCCAAAAAGATAGAAATTCAGTGCAATTTGTTAAGAAAGAGCGTAATAATCCTGTTTGCGGCGTTTTGCGGCTTTTGCGCTACTTTAACAGAATAGATCAGCTTAGGTTTTGTCATGCAACGCTATTGGACGTATGGATTGACAGCGGCCGCAACACAATCGTACTGTCAAACTGGATATTTGACCAATTGACTGAGCATACAAATGAAAATATATGTGAGATTAATAAGAAAACAAGTAAGAAAGCTCTAGTCGAGACTACTCGACTACGAGATCCCCTGAACCGTTCGAGCAACAGCTATTTCAATAATTATTCGCATATGCACACACACACACGCACACACACAGCCATACGCACGCATGCATACACACGCATTGGCTGCAGAGGTGGATTACTAATTGTTTAATAACTTTTCTTGTCGATGGACGATTCAGATTATGATTATAATATGGATATGCATGCATCTGCCAAAGCACAAGTCACCATTATTTGAAATACGCCTTTTACAAATATGTGGGTGAGGTGATGGATATAGGGGTGGGGGTAAGTTTTAACAAAAACCGAAATTGTACAAAATGCATTTAAATATACATTTAAAATTTTGAGACTGCTCGACTACGAGATCCCCTGAACCCTTGGAGCAATAGATATTTCAATAATTTTTCGCAACTTTCAGCTTACACAAGTAATACGCACACACACACACACACACGCACGTACGCACACACAGGCATATATACACACACACGCATACAGACACACTTACACACACACACGCATACATACACAAACGCATACACACACACACATACACACACACATACACACACAAGCAACCACGCATAAACACGCATGGGCTGCAGTGTGCGCTTACTATGAGAAGTTAATTGTTTAATAAATGGACGTACGATCTTCATGAAACTTTCAGAATATGATTATAACATGAATATGCATGTAATTGCCAAAGCACAAGTCTCTAGTATTTGAAATACGCTTTTACAAAAGTGAGGGTGAGGGGGTGAATTTAGAGGTGGGGGGGTAAATTTTAACAAAAACCGAAATTGTATAAATTGCATATAAACATACATTAAAAATTTGGAGACTCTAGCAATAAAGGTGTAGAAGATATAATTTTATAACTGGGTTTCGATAAGGTTTTTTATCGATAAAAAAAGATCGAGATGAGTTATCGATTTTTAATGATAAACTTGATATGCGCGCTGTAATTACGGACATTTTAAAAAAGTTTGAAGTCTCTAGCTCTTATATCTTCTGAAATCGACGCGTTCATACATACGGACAGACGGACGGACGGACAGACGGACAGACAGACGGACAGGGCCAAATCAACTCAGCTCGTCGCCCTGATCAAGAATATATATACTTTGTGGGGTCTGCCACGCCTCCTTCTCCCTGTTACATACATTTCAACAAAACCATTATACCCTGATTTCCCATTGAAAATGGGTTCAGGGTATAAAAACAAGTAAGAAAGCTCTAGTCGAGACTGCTCGACTACGAGATCCCCTGAGCCCTTGGAGCAATAGATATTTCAATAATTTTTCGCGTCTTTCAGCTTACACAAGAAACACGCACACACACACGCACGTACGCCCACACAGGCATACATACACACACACGCATACAGACACACATACACACACACGCATACAGACACACATACACACATACACACACCCTTTGGCCACGAGGAATCTGACGAGTGCCCCTGGTGCGAGCGAGGGCATGTCGAAGACGTCAACCACGTTCTTTTCGAATGTGGGCGGTTCCTGGAGGAGAGGCGTCGTCTGGAAGAGGCAGTGGGCCGCTCCATCAGAGCGGACAACTTAGTCAACGCCATGCTGGAATCGGAGGAAGCTTGGGAACTAACAAGCACCTTCGCGGCCACAGTGATGATGGAGCTCCGCAGAGTCGAGCGACTGAGAAGACGAGCTGTCCCAGGCTAAGGTAGCGCATAGTGCTTGCGAAGCAATGCTTTACGGCCGTCCCGCAAGCACCGCGCGCTATCCTAGCCACCACGCAACTTGCAATTTGTTTAATTTTGTCAATAAATGAATATATATAAAAACAAGTAAGAGGACTCTAGTCGAGACTGCTCGACTAGGAGATACCCTAAACCCTCTAATCTGATATTCACTCTGCACTTCTTTTCGGCACACATACATACACACGCACGTATTAGAACGCGCTCTGCTAACTGCGCAGTAAGCAGCGACTGCGCTTGGGCTGCGCTGTAGTGTGGGCAACATTATAAGAATTTCTTTGTTGAATAATTTAATTTCTAGACGTACAATCTTAATGAAACTTTGAGAACATAATCATAATGTTCAAATGTATGTACATTCCAAAGCACAAGTCTCTAGTACTTGAAATACGTCTCTTACAAAGGTGAGGGTGAGGGGGTGGATATAAGGGTGGGGGGAAAATTACAACAAAAATCTAAATTATATAAAATATATATAAGTCTACATTTAAAATTTGGAAGCTCTAGCTCTAAAGGTGTAGGAGATATAATTAAATAACTAGCATTCGATAAGGTTTTTGATCGATAATAAAATATCGGGGGTAGTTATCGATATTTAAAGAAAAACTTGATATGCGCGTGATATACACGGACCTAGGAAAAAAAATTTCAAGCCTCTAGCTCTTATATCTTCTGAAATCGACGCGTTCATACATACGGACGGACGGACGGACGGACGGACGGACGGACGGACGGACGGACGGACGGACGGACGGACGGACGGACAGACAGACAGACGGACAGGGCCAAGTCGACTTAGCTCGTCGCCCTGATCAAGAATATATATACTTTGTGGGGTCTGCCACGCCTCCTTCTGCCTGTTACATACTTTTAACAAAATCATTATACCCTGATTTCCCATTTTCAATGGGTTCAGGGTATAAAAAAAAAAAAAAAACACATACACACACACGCATACAGACACACATACACACACATACACACGCATACACACACAAACACATACACAAACACATACACAAACATTTACATACATATACACACACAAGCATAAACACGCATGGGCGGCAGTGAGCGCTTACTATGAGAACTTAATTGCTTTATAACTTTTTTTGTGGACGTACGATCTTCGAGAAACTTTCAGATTATGATTATAACATGAATATGCATGTATATGCCAAAGCACAAGTCACTAGTATTTGAAATACGCTTTTTACAAAAGTGATGGTGAGGGGGTGAATTTAAAGGTGGGGAGTAAATTTTAACAAAACCCAAAATTGTATAAATTGCATATAAGCATACATTAAAAATTTGGAGACTCTAGCAATAAAGGTGTAGAAGATATAATTTTATAACTGGTTTTCGATAAGGTTTTTTATCGATAAAAAAAGATCGGGATGAGTTATCGATTTTTAATGATAAACTTGATATGCGCGTTGTAATTACGGACATTTTAAACAAAATTTGAAGTCTCTAGCTCTTATATCTTCTGAAATCGACGCGTTCATACATACGGACAGACGGACAGACGGACAGACAGACGGACAGGGCCAAATCAACTCAGCTCGTCACCCTGATCAAGAATATATATACTTTGTGGGGTCTGCCACGCCTCCTTCTGCCTGTTACATACATTTCAACAAAACCATTATACCCTGATTTCCCATTGAAAATGGGTTCAGGGTATAAAAAAAAAAAATGAGAAGATCAAAGTCTGCCAAAAAAAAACAAGTAAGAAAACTCTAGTCGAGAGTTCTCGACTAGATACTACCCTGAACCCAACAAATAAAAATGCCCATTTAGTATGGCTGAAATTTCAATTTCGATGTATTTAAAAATATAAATAAAATACCAAACTCATTTAATAAAATATAAAAATATTTTGAAACAATTAAAAAAGTTAACATCGTTTGCACCGACCGGGATTCAAACCGCGACTTCTCGATCGAGCGTCATGTAGCTAACACACTAGGCCAACCCACTCCTGCTAGTGGCGCTGGCAAAACTCAAATAGATTCACTGCTGCAGCGCCATCTACCAAAACTAAACGAAACTAACTGTTGATGTGATTCTAAGAATCTGCTAGAATAACCAAACTATTAAAAACGCACATAAAGTATAGTTAGAATTTCAATTTCGGTGTATTTAAAAATATAAATTAAATAGAAAACTCATTTATGAATATATAAAAATATTTTGAAACAATTAAAAAAGTTAACATCAGTTGCACCGACCGGGATTCGAATCGCGACTTCTCGATCGAGCGTCATGCAGCTAACACACTAAGCCAACCCACTCCTGCTAGTGGCGCTGGGAAAACTCAAATAGATTCATTGCTGCTGCGCCATCTACCAAAACTAAACGAAACTAACAGCTGATGTGATTCAACGAATGTTTCTAGAAGAAGTTTGAATGTATGTGTGCACACGCATACGATGCTGTTGTAGCTGCTGCACGTGCGTTTGTTAATTGGCCAAATACTTGATTATTTTTTATTAATTTTTGACTGAACGGAATTTAATGAAACTTTCAGCATATGATCTACATATTATATTGAATATTTGAGAAATTTAAAAAAAAGAAAAATCATTCACA